ATATATATATATATATATATTTGTTATATATTTAAGACTTGATCATTTGTTTTTTTATAAATTGTTAAAAAATATTGACATTGTAGAAAATATTGTAGAAAATAAATAAAATGTTTTTGACATATTAATGCCCTTTGATTAAAAAAAAAAAATATATTTATAGAAATGACATTACATTTACTCTAATTGACATTGTAAAAATTTTTTTTTTAAATACCAAATTAATTATTTCCTCAAAAATAAAAAAATAAAAAATAAATACGCTTTGATCAATATTACAAATATTGACTGTTAATCGAATTTATTAAAAATTTACCTGAAACTCAAAATCAAAGGGATTTATTTGAAAATAATTATTCGGTTATTGATATTGTTAATTATCCGAGTTGTTTGTAAGCTCTCAATGCACAGCGGGAAATAATAACAATTATAATTATTAACTTGACGTTGCTTTGATAATTAATGATTTTCCATCACATCCATATCCATATTAAATTTCCTATTAATACAAATGAGCGACAGTGATGGAATAATATTAAAAAGTAGTTAATAAATTTTGACTAATTAAATTTTCGAAAATTCTTATTCGAGATAATCGTAAAAAAAAGTAACATTAAGAAATGTGTAGAGTTAATGCGAGGATCTTACAATTACGGCGCAAGCTGATAATCACGTAATTGCTGGTCACATATGTGCAGTAGATAGTACGAAGCAGTTAAAAGAAGAAATTGCAGGATAAGCTTCTTCTCTTAGAAGTAATTTTAATTCAATGATACTTTTTTTTTTGTAAATAAATGCAGCGCATTTATTACTGACGCGGATGGATTTATTTTTTCGGACACTGGCGCCAGGAATCAGGATTCCAATGTTCAGCGCCGTCATATCTCTCATGTAATAAAGATAAATCTGGACGGTAATGTAATTATATATTGATGTGAGTTAATGACGAGTAATAAATTGAGGAAATTATTAAGTGTAATTTATTTATAAATAAATTAACATTTTTAAGGGATTATACGCACTTATAATTTTTAAAAAATCTATTTTTTTAATTTTAGTCTTCTAATGTAAACCGGACAAATAAACTGAGAAGAAATAAAAATTTGATAATTATTTACAAGTGGGGTCAAATCTATTTATAGCCATATCTAGGTAAAAAATTAACATTGTTTAATTTTTTTTTATTTTGCTTGTTTTTATGGCGGATTTATGATAATAAATTTTGTGAATGGAAAAAATGAAAATTTTGATAGCTTTTTTGCCTTTAAAAGTTGGAAAAAATTTTGGCTATCATGTTTTTGGATAAAATTTCTATTTTATCTTTTTTTGACTTTTTTTATATATATATTTTTTTTTGAAAAATTTATAAAAAAATGAACAATTTTGAAAATAAAAAGTTGAATGTCACAATTTTCAAAAAAATTTATAAATAATCAACTTTTTTTTTTAAATTGTTTATTTTTTTATAAATTAAAAAAAATGTATCAATAAAATAAAATAAAAATTTGGTTCAAAAAAATGAAAATGAAAATTAAACGATTAAAAATTCTCTTCAGAAAAAATAATTAAAAAATTTTTTCTCTCAGTCTTAATGTTTAATTGTTAATTTGTAATTAAAAAAAAATTTAAGTTACAAGTTTTGATTTTTTTTTTTATTACTCGTTAATTATACTTTGCACTTAAAAGCGGAAGTCAATATATCTTCATCAATAGATCCGGGTCGTGACAATAGTAACTCGTAATATTTCGTCGTGGAAAGTATCGCCGCGAATAGACGAGATAGAGAGAGAAATGGAAAATAATAACAAAGTATACGGAGCAAGAGCATCACAGACGGAAGCCATCCATTTGTGAGAGCGTTTCATATGCATAACGAATTTTTATGATTGCTCGATACACATATGCTCTCTCTTTTTTACTCATATCTGCTCTTTTTTTTCCATTGCTCTATTCTTTTTTTTTTCGTTTTGTTTCTGCGTTTCCATTTTACCGTGCGGAATTTTTCATAATGCATCCGCGAGCACAAAAACTCGTGCGCCTTCCATTTCTCTTATTCGGGCATTGTTATACTGCATCAACAATAACAACAACGAAATACTATTGTAATTGTAATTTATTCTGTTATTATACTGGCAAATAACTTACACGCGTGTAACTTCATTCCTGATTACGGGGACAGAAGTTTTTTTTTTTTTTTTAATATCCTTTTTTACGCTGATGAATTGTATGGCCCTTTAATTGACAGGCTGAATGTGTGTTAAATTGTTATTGTTGTTGTATTGAAAATCAATAGTATGTATTTGTATCAAGTTCTTTGCAATTTATTGAACTTTTAGTGAATATTGATAATTTTACACCAACATTTGGCTTTTTACTGTTGATTTTTTTTTGTGAATATTAAAAATCTGAAATTTATTTTTTTATTCAGACAATTTTTTTTCAAATGAAAATTTTAATATTAAATAAAAATTATTATATTGTTTTGAATGAATGAAAGGATTATTTTATTTTCTAGTGATGATTTTAAAAAAAAACTGAATAATAATAAAATTAGCTGACGTTTTTAATTTTTTGATTTTTTTTAAATAATTAAATTAGAACAGAAAAATATTTTTTAAAAATTGCACTTTCAGTTTTTCAAGTTTTTTACAAGTGTAATTTTTTAAAAATTTTTTTATAATAATTTTTTCAATAAAAAAAAAAATTCTAAAAATTTTTAGATGTCGACAATCTTAATTTTCATAAAAACTGATAAGATTTTTAATAAATTTTATTGATAGTTAATAAATTTTCTCAATGAATCTTTGAAATTTTAATATCTGTTTTATTTACTAAGTCATAAAAAAATTCAAAGATTTCAGATAAAATTTTCAATAACTAAATTTATTACAAAACAACTTTTTTTATAAAATTGCCAATCGAAAAAGTTTAACTATAATTTATCATCCATAAATTTTTATGCTTACAAATTGATTTATGGAGCTAGATGAAATTTTTGTAACTTGGTAATAAATTGAGGGTATTTATAGCTAAAAAATGAGGGTAAATAAAGTCCATTAAAATATAAGAAAAAAATATGAAAAGTTAAATTGATTAGTTGGGTACGCGTATAGATATTTATCAATGTAGGTACACTCAAGTTTAGAGTGTAAATTAATATCACAATGTTCGATAGTGGAGACTGGAAGTGAAGTGGTTAGTGGGCGAAAATTCATGGCCACTTGACATAACAAGAGAGCAAGTGTAGAAGGATCAGGAATTGTATGCATGTGTTGGGTGTATGTGGTTTTGGCCTACGCATCTACGCGATACAGGGCACTTGTGGTGATCATCAGGATCCAATAATTAACCACTAATTAGCCTCCCTAATTTCAATGAGAAACTAATTGTTAATTTACATTTGCCAATAATTATTATCATTTATAAATAATATATATGTAAACATTTCTATTCATATATATATCCTGATATAAATTTTAACTAGTAATTATCAAGTTAATTGGAATTCATTATAAATATAATAATAAAATGTAAAATGTAAAATTGCTCTGATTATGTGATTTTACATTCATAATTTAAAATTTACTTCAACATTACATTCGAGTAACGAGCAATTGAAAAGCAGTCATGGGAAAATCCAGCGGAATGTTTGGAATAATTTATCAAATGCTACACCAATAACTTTATCTCTATTTCCCCATTCTCTTTTTATATAAATCCTCTATTTATTATCATTTATATAAAATAAATTCAAGTTAATCCGCCGCTTTACACGCTCATTAATTTACTATTATAAATTTATTAAAACAGAAACTATGAACTACAAACAGAAAACCGAAAGTATTTATTATATTGTTGTATAAAATAAAAGTTGTAAAAATAAATAAATTCTTCATAATAAAACAAGAGGCTGAAAAACTTGGTGGCATCAAATCGATGGTAAATATTTAATGGGAAGTGTAAACAGAGCTAGTGATAACGCTCTAAACTCAATAAACAACTTACGTAATAAGGAAAAAAATGATGATCTATTGTGAGCTGTTCTTGAATCTCTTACCTAAGCTTGAGAAATAACGTACGTTCGAAAAATTGTCATTAACGTAATTATATTATTATCTTTTTATACTTTTAGATAGTAGTATGATGTATGTTATATATATAGTAAATACTTTAACTAAAAATCATTTTTAATTCCATTATTTACAACATTGAGCAGCTATTTTGATCATAAATAAAGAAAAACATTTTCATATTGTCTTTTTGAAATTACAAAAATAAATATATCTTATTTAACAATTTTTTAATTTTATTTAACAAATTAATATCAAAAAGTAAATTTTAAAAAATTTTTTAGAATTTTTTTCCAATTTTTCTAATTGAGAATTTTAGTACATAATAATTTATACTGGTAATATGCCTCTGTTTTAAATAATAATGTAATTCTGACAGTGAAATAAATGTCATCTCTTGAATTAAATGATTAACATAAAACATGAACTATAATCTAATTACAGGAAATTATCGATAGAATTACACTAATATGAGCGACATATTCTGATGACATTTATAATGAGATCAAATGTATTTATGTTATCTATTTGTTGCCTAATATAAAAATTCTACTACGCTAGATTATTTTACCACTTATTTAAGAATCTTAATAATACAGTGTTAACATCATTAGTCACTTAAGATGATTTAGACACTTTTATCCGAAGATTAGTCGAGTATTTTTGATATGAGTTATTTAATGTCGAGTTATTGATTATTTTTTTAGGTTTTGTGGCGGATGAAACCAGATCTTACCGAACTCTTTATCTTTGAAAGATTGATTTGAAAATTTAGAACTCGATTTAGAAATATTTGTCTATGTTAATAATCTTTTAAAAAATAAAATTAACTCGATGGTGCCGATAAATAAATAGATATCCATATATCCACATATATATTTAAAAATCTATCTCCATTGTTATTTTTACTCATGTCTCTAATCTTCTATTTTATTATTCATGCATCAGTAGCCTCGTGAATAATTCATCTAGCGCTAGTGCTATCCGGAAGGACTTTAACGATATAGATAGTCGTGTTGAACCTGTGACGCACTATTTCCAAGACTCTTTCATCTTTGCTTGGTAAAAAACAAATTCCTTATACAACTATTTTTTTTTTAATATTTTTTTCTCTTTGTTGTTTCCTTTTGAGATTAATCGACTTAGGTATTAAATATTAAAAGCGGATTTACTTAAAGAAAAATTGAATGAAAAAAAGATTGAAATTAAAAAACAATATTATGAAAGAAAAGCCAAGTCTCATTACTTAACCACTGGTTTGTAATGACGTCGGGAAAACTTTTGTAAGCTAAAATCAAGATTTTCTGTGGAAGGTTATAATTAGACAAGTATTTAATCTTTCTCAAGCAAAGTTTTGTAGTCGCCCACAATTATTATACGGGAAAGGATTTAATACTTTTTTCTCTCAAAGTCATTAATGATCTTGTCAAACGACTCTACTCAATCAATCAGTATTTATATACCATTTGTCTCGAGAAATTGACGGTTTATATGCCCAATTGGGAGAATTCGTTCCATCATTTTATATCTATATTGTAATTACTAGCAACCTTGCAGTCGCTATGTGACTGCCGTGACTTGTGAAGTATAAATAAATAAAATTTTGCTTTATTAAATAATGACTTTTGTTAAATTGCACTGTACTTCATTAAATATTGACGTTTTTGAATATATAAACTCATCCCGATGTTACATTCATCAAGAGCTTTCATTTGAGTACTCACATGTATTTTGATATATTTTTCATATATACATATATATAATATATATAAATATATGAAAAATTGATGTGGGTACTCAAATAAAAGGTCTCGATGAGAGTAAAGTCGAGATGAGCTTATATCTTTAAAAATGACAATATTTCACGAGATATTTGTTAAATTGCACTGTACTTCCTTAAATATTGACGTTTTTTAAGATATAAGCTCATCTCGATGTTGCCCTCATCAAGAGCTCTCATTTGAGTACCCATATGCATTTTGATAATATATTTTTCATATATACATATATAAATATATAAAATATATGAAAAATTAATGTGGGTACTCAAATGAAAGGTCCCGATGAATGTAACATCGGGATGAACTTATATCTTTAAAAATATCAATAATTCATAAGATACAAGGTCATTTCCTAAAATAGATTATTATTATTTTATTTATTTATTTTAATAATAATTTTTGCAAATCATAAATTGCTTCATTACTTCTTTAAGTAAATTAACTTTTACTAAATTACTTCATTACTTCATTACTTGTCGGGAAAATAAAAAAAGTTAAAATATCTCTTTGCATCAGAATTCAACAAATCTCCAATTAATAAAAAAAAAAAATAGAATTCTCGCATTCACATCTGATAAAGTGATAAATTTATCGAGGATTAACGAGTGTGGATTAAAAATAAACAGAATTTAAGCCAAATAGAAATAAACTTCCAATTAAAAGTCGAGAGAAAAGCTGACTTATAATCAGTCAATTGAAAATTATTATATCGATTAGCAACTTATCCGCGGACTAATTAACATACGATTAAAAAAGCAACATAACGTATGTGTAAGTGTTTATAATCGATAATTGATAATTAAGAAAAATTAATCTTTGATGCATGATATCATGATATTAATCTCCGGTGAAAATCAATTTAATTGATACGTGCGAGCTGAAGGATAATTAACAGCTAATTATAACTATGTTGCCTAGGTCAAATTATATTTACTTAGTTACGAGCTACTCACCTTACGAAGAAAAACTTTTCGCGAACTTGACGTTTCACACTGTCACTCTTGCGTCGGTACTGCAATCTTTTGCAGGCTTCCGAGGAAGCTGGCTCTGGAATTAGCTTATTGAAGCCTGTTCGGATCAAACGGTAATTTGTTATAATATTATAGTATTTTATCAAAGATAAGAATTATATAAAAGTATGAATAAATTTAATTAAAATAAAAATATTATTTTTGGTAATTATTTACTAAGTGGGGCTATATTTTTGGCCATATATAGGTGAAAAATTAACATTTAAAAATTTTTTTTTTACGGCACATTTATCATAAAAAATGTGAAAAAAAAAATAAAGGTTTTGATATCTTTTTTGCCTTTAAAAGTTGGAAAAAATTTTGGCTCATTTTTCTGGATAAAATTTCTATTTTATCTTTTTTTGATAATTTTTTTTTAAAGTACATAAAAAAACAAACAATTAAAAAAAAAAAGTTCAATATTAAAATTTTCTAAAAAATTTACAAATTTGTGAAAATTGTGATAATCAACTTTTTTTCTTTTTAATTGTTCATTTTTCAAAAAAAAAATATATCAATAAAATCAAATAGAAATTTTGTTCAAAAAAATGAAAATTAAAATGGTTGACCCCATTTGTACATATTTACATTATTTTTTTTTTGATATTAACTATTTATATTTGCATGTTATGTGATTAAAAAAAAATCTCAGATTTAAAATCAATAGACACTTTATATTATTTGCTTTTAGTGAAGTTAAATTTTTTTTCTTTTTTTTTTTAAGGAAAATTTAGTCGGGTTTAAAGGTGGAAGTTCTTGCCTGTCAAGAGATACAATGTTGACGTGCTCGGTGTAAAGAGACAAATATTTATTCAGAGGCACGTTAATTTCTGGCAGCGCTCTAATGTTTATATACCTACTCGGGTATATTCGTCATTCGTCTTGAATTTAAGTCGTCTGGCCTCATCTCTATCGACCAATTACAATTCTCATGTTTATTTTTTTTTATCTATCTGTTGATTTTGTTTTTAAGTCTATAAAAGTTCTTCCACTTTTTTTTTTTTGTAAATAAAAACAGTTGGGAACAAAAAATAAAATTTTAACTTCGGAAAAATACCTCAATATTGAGTTAATTTTTTTTAAATCTAAATATGATTCATGAAGAAAAAATTTTAGATTAAAAGTAATCAGTTTTATGAAATTTATCTTCTAATGTGAACTCAATAAAAAAAATTAAGCCAGTGGTGAGTAATATATTTTTAAAGAAGATAAAATTCTTAGTCTAAGACTTAAATAACAGTAAAATATAAAAATATATGATAGAAAAAAAGCTTACCAAGCCAACTGAGGTACTCAGTAGTTTCAAGTTTTGTTTTAAAAGCATCCATTTCAAGTTTAAGCTCCTGAAGAACCTGAGCTGGCTCAGAAGACGCGATTGCTTGCTGTGTTCCTAGTTCTTGTTCCAGTGCAGCAACACGCCTCTCCAGAGCTTGCAACAGGTCAGCCTCGATCATCCCAAAAGATGTTGGGTGCGCTCCAACAACCTTCAATGCAACGAGCACAATAAATAGCCTCCAATATCGGAGTAAAAGTAAAAATTGTAGTTTTTCTTTTAACACTTTTTACTTTCGACTTTTACTAGCTACTCATCATTTTTATTTTTACTATTCCCCTTAACCTTATTATACTTAGCTATTTTATAAAGTTCAAATGGACAATAGTCTGGGTACTTTGTGGAATACGTGGAGGATAGCGAGACAATATCCGACGTGCACAGAATCACCGATGCACTTCATTGTTCGATCCCGGGTCGTTTATTTTTATCCGATTGTTTAGTGGTTTTATTCTTTCGTGTTCATTTTTATTTTTGGCTTGACTTTACCGCTTTTTTACTTTCCTTTTTTTGATAATAAGAGTATCCAGTTTACGAGAACGTAACTATAATAAATTATTACCTGGAGCACGTACGGCGTGTCTGGGGTGTTGGCTGCCAGTTGGGTTGAAATGTTTAGGAGTTTGTCTCCCTTTCGCAGTTTCAAGATGTCCAAAGGACCCGCCTCTGCTGCGCTTCTAAATAATTCTGAAAATTTATACATTTTTTATTTAGTGTTTAGTTTTTTTAATCTCCAGAAAAAAAAAAATTAATTTGAATCGAGTAAATAATTTTAAAGAATTTAATTTTTTTTATTTAAGCACAAAAATTCTTAAACTAAGAAAATAAAACTCTTCAATATTATTTTTTTGGTTTAAGAATTTTTCTCTTGATTAAAATTAATTTTTTTTAGTAGTTTAATTATTTTAATGTAAATTTTTTTTCTTAATTAAAATTTTTTATTGTTATTATTTTTATCAAAAATACAATAAAGGCTTTGTATAACAACAATAAAATAAAATAAAATTGTCAACAAAGTAAACAGAAGCGAGAATTAAAAAAAAAAATCTGCAGACGGTTATCTCAAATAAAAAGGAATTGGAGCATTTTCACTAGCGAGCGATGAAAGGATACTACGGATATAGATATAAATATAAGTAAAAAATAAAAAAAAGATATTAAGTATAAGTTTAACGGTGCGACGTTAGTAGCGTTGAATTTCTCTCCCAGTAGTATAAACTAAAATTTACCCAGAGCAGTATGTATATTTATATTTATAAATATATGTATAAGAAAGTATAAGAAAGATGAGTGCTATTTTCTGAATGAGAAAGAGAAAAAAAAAGGCGTAGAAAAAATATGAAGATGAAGACGCTCACGGAAAATTCCGTCTCCATTTTCGAGATAAGAATGAACAAGCATGAAAAGAAATGGGGTCGAGTGTCTTAGTCTTAGTCTTTATATTTTACTCATTTTAGTTATAGTTTCTACCTTTTATTATGACACCTCATAACACTTGAGTCATTTCTCTGTCGTAAAAATCATTGCCAGTAATAATTTTTTTACAACTTATAACTTTTGCCCTTTCAGCGCTCAGTTTATCAACATCTCAATCGCTCATCAGTCTATTAAATTTAAATAATTACAATTAAAAAAAAATTTAGATTAGTAAATTTCAAATTAAAATTCTAATGATGATAAAAATTTTTATTTTGTATCAGCTGTACTCGAAAGGATACAGTATCAAGTAGAAAGGATGTTAATAAGTCAGACGCAGAATCAAGTAATAGTTGCGCTCCGTAAAATAGTAGCTTAATTCAGAAGTGATTTATTCATTTATTAATATTTAACTGTTATGAATAAAAAAAAAAAAAAAAAAAATGAATAATCTCGCTCGTCAGTGACATATTTTTTCTCTCACAGCATAGATGTTTAATGACACGTATTTGGATGCAAATTGATGACAAATGCAAATAACAGCTAATGTCCTTTTTTACAACAAAATCCCTAAGCTAGAATAATTCCTCTTTTTACCTACGCTTGTTAATGTTTCTCATCTCATTGCGCACAATACATATTAATGCTCAAGCATTTTATTATTTCACAGCTTTGCCTTCCGTCCAAGTTGGAAAATTTAATCTCTATTCGCTGCGCAGATTTAGAAAACAATGGAAATTAATTGGTAAAAAAAATTGTAAATAATATAATTAATTATTTTTAATTATTATGTCCAAGATTTCTATTTCTTAAATTTATAATCTTATAGCCTTTTTTTTAATTTGATGTTATTTTTCATTAATAATTTTAATTTCGTCAACAATTTTTACCCTTTTGGTAATTTTTCTAAGTTAATAATAAAAGTTATATAATGTAAACTTATTAAAAAGTACAAGGTTAATTTTGTAAAAAAATATTGCGAACAGGCCAAGGTAGGATTCGAACCTGGCTCTTTTTTATTACACGCCGAAAGCTTTATCGTTTAAGCTATTTTTTTTTTTTTAATTATCAAAAGGGCAAAAATTGTTGATGAAATTAAAATTATCTATAAAAAAATGCCAAATTACACAGAAAAAACAAACTGCTTGCGCCAAAAAAATTTTAAGGAAGACAAAAGTCATTTTGAAGCAAGAAGAAATTTTTTTTGGCTTTGAAAGAAATTTTCAATCTTTTTCCTAATATTTTATTGAGCCAAGAAAATTTACACTCCAGTCAAGAATTTTTTTTTTCAGTTTAGTATTAAATAATAAAATTTTTCATCGATTAAATTCCCAAAATTTAATAAAAGATCTGTTAAAAATTCTTTGAATAAAATTAAAAAAAATTTCCCGGAACTTATTACCTTAACAATAATAACAACAAAAATTTATATTATTTAAATAAACAATAATCCATAAATTGAATATCAGAACATTAAGTTCATACGGGCAATGATATTGGCCTCAACAAAATAATGAATAAATTGACCCGGGGCGAGCAATAAAAAAACGTAATCGTCCACCATACTTTCATGATTCACTAACCCATTATCCCATTATAAGCAATGAAAGACCGGCAAAGATAACCAACAATGAGACTCTGAGGGCCCCTCCTATTCGGAAGTCTCCCTCAAGATCGGACACTCTGTCGATTAAATCGCCCAGCAACGTATATAGTAATACAGTACACTACGGTGTAGTTTATAGTTCTCCACTCTTATACTCCAGGCTACTCACACTTTAATGTTCATGCATATATATGTCACCAGTAACGTGGTCTATGACAATCAAGGACAGTGTCCCTCTCCCAGAGCTCCCTCTTAACTTCTTAAGCTCTTTCTTCTCCTTCTCTCATCTAATCTCTCTTATCTAGTAGCCTCTCGCTCAGAAGTACACATGTCGATATTATTACTTACGGCTAATTGCGGTAATTCTAGTTGATATTGCAACCGTATCCAATCATACGTATATATATTCACGTTCATATTAATATTCATGTGTATAATTCGTCCTATAGGTCGAGTTACTCTTCTCTTTACATTAGCATGCTGAGTTAAGGGCCGCGTAAGTATAGCCAATAATTCACAAAAGCCACTCCTGTGACCCTTTAAAGTCGCAATTACATCTATTTGCTCGGCTTGGTAAACTAAGAGTCCTTACTTTTACACCTCTGGCTTTAACAATTGTTAACGGGTCTTAAAAACGGTATTTTTGAAACTTATTTCACTGGTCGAGAAATATTAAAGCAGAATTTTTAAAAATATGCCGAAGTAAAAATGAAATTTAAAAATAATCTATATGATTACGAGAATAAGTAAAATTTTGTGGCCAGTGTATTTATATGATAAAATGGATATTTATGATAATTAAGAAATGACCTTGTATCTTGCGAACTATTGACATTTTTAAAGATATAAGCTCACCCCGACATTACACTCATCGAGATCTTTCATTTGAGTACCCATATCAATATTTCATATATTTTATATATCTATATATATGTATATATGAAAAATATATCAAAATGCATGTGGGTACTCAAATGAAAGTTCTTAATGAGTATAACATCATAATGAGCTTATATCTATAAAAATGTCAATAGTTAAGATGGTACAGTGCCATTTAACAAATATCTTGTGAACTATTGATATTTTTTAAGATATAAGCTCACCCCGACATTACACTGATCGAGACCTTTCATTTGAGTCCCCATATCAATTTTTCATATATTTATATATATATCATATATATGTATATATGAAAAATATATCAAAATGCATGTGGGTACTCAAATGAAAGCTCTTGATGAGCGTAACATCGAGATGAGCTTATATTTTTAAAAACGTCGATATTTAAGAAAGTACAGTGCAATTTAATAAAAGTCATTATTTAATAAAACAAAATTTTATTTATTTAGTTCACAAGTCCCGATAGTCACATAGTGACTGCAAGGTTGCTAATATTTTTTTAATCAAATTATATTATTCAGTGCAGTTCTTTTATAAAAACGAATTATATTGTCAATATTTTGTGATAAAATTAGTTTTCCCAGCAAAATCAATACCGATATCTCTAAAAAATTTATGGATAAGCTTTAAATTTCTACTCGACGTGTTATAAATTTATTTTCCTACGAAATAAATTCCAATATAAATTATAAAAAATTTATGATTACAACAAGTATCAATCTAACGAATATACGTTATTCACAAAACAAAAAAAAGAACACACAAAAAAACAGTGAAACTCGTTATTCACTGATCGACTGATGCACGCTCAGTCATCGTGTTAAATATCAATCAATTTATGTCAATACTTTCAATCCAGGAAATTATTTTCCCTTGGGAGTTTTGATAAACGCAAAGTAGGCCCTCGATTTCCCTCTTTCCATCCGGCTGACACTGATTTTTTTTTTCTTTTTTTGGATCAATCAATCGCCTCTATTTTTTTTTTTCACTGTTGTTTGAATTCTTTTTCAGCTTTTTATTCGAAAACTTTTCCCAATTTAAATTGAATGCCTTTCGGGCAGATATCATGGAGCCGAATGATCCCATACGTGCAATAATTTCGTGCTAGCTTTGTTTGTTACCTCCCAATATTTGAGGAATAAATATCACAGTGACATTTCTGGGATAAATAATTGATGAAATACTTTTTCACCCATTTTTATCGTTTTAACAAATATTTTATGGCAAATAAGGTACTAACAAACAAACAAAGTTGTTTTGATAAATTAATACCAGCTACTGCTGAATAAATTTGTTTATTCGATTGATTTATTAATTAAATAAACAACAAGTTCATGTTTATTCTTCAGTGTCAGCAATCGCTTCAATATTGTCGCTATTATTTAAATTTTAATATACTTCTTCGGTTTTATCAATAGATTTCAAAGACAATTTATTAAATTTCTGTATATTAGATCTGAAGCCATAAAATAAGCTTCAATTTTCGTGTTTCCTAGACCGAAAATTACCTACACATCTATGACTATTTGATGAAAGCTTACTATTGCGTTCGTTTTTCATTTCGATTGCCGAATGGCCTTTATTTGTTTTAGAAATCGACTTTTTCAGTCAAAAAAAAATTTTTTCATTAGTTATTTACCGCATCGGTGAAACATGAAATTATAAACCGAGATAGCAATTCACAGGTCTTTGACGGGTGGATATCATGAGACTTCTAGTTAACCACTTTTAACCCACTTTGATTGTCAGTTCAGGAAATATAAAAAAATGATTGAAAGCGATATTTGAAATTAATACCATCACAGACATTTCCCTTGACACGACGGTTGCAATGCGGTTGCCATCATAGTTTTACCTTTTGATACGTCATGAATACGGGGGATATATATTTAGTCAGTCGTATTTATTTCAACCAGCAATTAAATATTTATAACAAGCATAGCTGAAAATCCGGTATATAAATATTAATAAAATTTTAATTTATTTTAACAAATGCGTCTGTTTTTTTTTTTATTGTTATATGCTATGGTATTGTAGATAAATAAATAAATTATTAAAAAAAAAACATTATCCAATTAATTATTGTAAAATTTTAATAAAAATATATTCAATGATTTCATAGAAAATTTCATAATATAAATTTTTAAATAAAACCATTTAAAACTCGACAGAAAAAATTGACTATCCCATAAAAATACATAAAATCGTGAAAAAGTACCAATTCAACTCAATATATTTTTGATAAAACCAAATTCAATTTAAAAATTCCTCTATAATAAAAATATCCTTGTTACAAATTTTTTTTTGTATTTTCTCAATTATATAGATGAAAAAATGTAATTTTAGGAAAAAAATCAAAATGATGTTTTATTAACAAAAAAAGTATACATATTTTTTACCGGTAGTTTTTTATATTCACTAACTGTTGATCAATGGAATTTTCAATGATAAAAAACACGAATAAAAAATCCCTTGCATTTATACACGAATTGATTATCAAAAAGCGCGAGTCGTGCTACAGAAATAATTCTCTTGACGATTAACATCGCATTGTCTGTAAGTATATAAATATATACATATATATGTGTGCATTTATTGTGTTCCTATCCACGTACTTCATTCAATAAATATCTATTGAATTGGTATTATCAACATCGATTAATGCAGGCAGCTATTAGTTAAATCCAATAATCAAATTTATACGCACGATACCGAATCGGTAGATTCACAGATTTAGTGCCTTGTCAGAATAATAAATTCAATGTGGATCAAAAAAGTCGAGTTCAGCATGAAAAAAATAATAACTCGCTGAGAATAAAAGACGGGAATGTAAATTGAAATGAAAATAAAAACAATAACAATACCAATTTGTCATTTCATTATATTACATGTCTATTTATATTTTTCGGCAGTGAAATTAATTGAGATTTTATATTAGCTGCGGAGTGTGGACCAATAGGCAGGAAATAACGGAAATTAAAAGTCCACGTTTAGTTTTATTGTAAAAAAAAAACGAGGAGAGACAAAAAGGTTTGATGGAAATAATCTGATAAGCGAGGAAAAAATGGAAAACGTTAAAAATATTGGAAAAAAGCTCTTTCATATTATGCTACACACTGAAAACTATCAAATACTGTTTTAATTTTTTAAAAGATAGGTGGGTAGATAGATAGCAGCTTAATCACATTGTTGTTCTTGCTTTGTAGCTAATTTTAATTATTTTTATTTTTACCCAAGTAAATTCTCATGTTTATTATTATCCGGCTAGACATTCTACTCACGATTTAACTCAATTTAGATTAGTTTTATTTTATCGTTTATTTTTGCTTCCTTCGAGAAACTTATCAATAAAGATATCCCAAAAAAATTTACTTCTATACATTCTCGGTAAATATACTTTTATATACAATTACGATACTGTAATAGACAGCCTGTATAGCAACACGAAAATTACATTAAATATTTTTCCGTGCTTCCACCAACACACTTTCATGTATCGGCAATATTTCAACCCCTAGAGATTTATTCGTTTATTTTGTGCTACAACCAACCCGCAAGTAATTACTTTTAATAACAATTATTAACCAGACACCGTATAACTGTATTTTTACCGTAAAAAACCGATATTACTTTGGTATAAATTCTATTCATTATTGGAAAGACACAAGTCATTTAATTTTTCAATTACGCTCTAATCTGTTTTTTAATTCGATCAATTTTTCAGTTTTTTAAAATTAAAAACAATGATTTATTGATTACAGTAATTTGATATTTATATCAAAAATTATCCATGAAGGGATGTATAAAATATGACTCGTTATCTAACTTTTTTGGTTTCAGATAAGAATTATACTGTAAGGGAGAAAAATTGACGTCCAAACAGGAAATTCTTGACTCAAGTAATTTTGAACTGAATCATTTAAATATTTTTTAACAAAAGCATATTAATGTCTTCATTAAATTAAAAAATAGACAGTCAAATAAATAATTTATTAAAATCAAGTAAAAATTATTTTGTCTAATTCATCGTCTTGATTCAACTTAATTTTTTTTTTCAGTATAGATTTATTGATATAACACAGAAAAAATAATTTACTTGAATCAAATAAATAATTTTGAAGAACTTCATTTTTTTTATTTGAGTAAAAAAATTCTTAAACTAAGAAATTTTTCTTAGTTTAAATAAATTTTACTTGATTCAAAAATTGATTGTCTTAATTCAAGACAATGAAATTTTTCAAAATTATTTTTTTGGTTCAAGAATTTTTCTTTTGATTCAAGTTAATTTTTTTTCTGTGAATTTCAAAAGGTTATCTTTTCGTATTTTAAAAGAGCAGTTTTTTAAACTTTTAAATATTAATTACTTCGAAAATTACAAAGATTTCTAAATGAAAATCAAGTTATAGCTTCATTACCGATATCACTTTATAGCTAAATCAAAAAAGTGTTCAATAAAAATATTTATAATTGAAGAAAACCAGTTCTTTTTGTCGATTAATCAAAAATGAAAAGATACCCTTCTGAAACTCAACTCCTCATTTATATCTACGTTCATAAAATGTATAAAGTCGAATTATTCGACACTTGGATCACATGGTTTGTATCATCGATTAAAAAACTGCTTCTAACCAATAACAACTAGCCTCTTAAAAAGTGTAATTTTATTTCATCTTGTAATAACTACTTTTAGAGATATTTTTTTTATATAATTCTGATAATTTAAACTTATAAAGCAAATAAAATTTATTTAATTCTATTGAAATGTTAATACTTTTTTTGCTTTATTTTTATTTTCCTTTTTCACCTATAAGTAAATTTAATTGATGTAAATCTAATAATCTATAAAGCCGATTGGCGTTTGAATAAATAAATAAATAAATAAATAAACACAAAAAAATTTTACCTTTAAGTTCCGAGTTGCCAACTTGATCGGGTCGAAAACTGGCGATTTCTCGACGATCGCCCACAATGAAATAAATATTAATATACTCGTCATCGGTATCGCCGGTGCCGTTTCTCGGTTTCTCGAAGTCCATGGCCAGCCTTTTGTTGGCTGTGTAGAGTTCGTTATCGCAGGACGCTGATCCTGACCGTGATCCTGATGGCGAGAACGGGGAGGATGATGCCCGGATTTTCGACAGGCCGCTGATATTGTCAACGATATCGGTATTAATATCTCGGAGAGTGATAGCAGCAACGACAACAAGAGTGTCGATGACAGTGATGGCAGCGCAGGCGACGAGGACTCCAATTCGGAGGACAATGACAGAGATAACGATAACGATAACGATGATGCTGATGCTGCTGTCGGTGGTAGCAGCAGAGCTGGTAGTGCTAGTAATGTTAGTGGCGGTAGTGTTGAGGATTTTGATGATGATATGAGTGATGTTATATCGTGGTATCGAAATAATTGACAGCGGGGGTGTCGGGTGACGCGCGTCAGCAGCCCGTGGATCCACGCCGGGCTCATCGTCGCATCACCGTGCTGGCGGCAACCCGGCCACCCCCAATCACCACTGACACACGACCACACTCCTTCACCTGATTACGCTTCTGATCCTGATCCTGTTGCTGCTTTTGCTTTTGCGCTTGTTCTTTAGCCAGGTGCTGTTTTTCCGTCAGGGATTTTAGTCTAATGTTACTGATGATACTGCTCTTGCTATTGATTATCCCACCGCGAGCTCTCGATATTAATAATTTACGGGAACTATTTACCAGCAATCGCCGATTATCTGCATGCTCCATATTCTGAAACACAGACATTTTTTTTTCGTTAGTCTTTTCATTCTAGTTTTTTTTTTTATCGTCTTTTTTAGATACAATTATGTTGTCTAAAAAAATTTCTTAGAAGTTCAATAATCTCTTTTATTAAAAGAATAAGCAAAATTTTGTGGCCAGGGCATTTATATGATAAAATGGGTTTTTATGGTTAAATTTGGTATCGTTGGAAAAGTCTTGACCTGGAGTTGTACCTTTTCAAGGTTTCATATCATTTTCATCAATAGTCAATTTATGATGATAAGTATTTAGGCTGCATTCGAAAATGCTCTATCTCTAGATACATAATTAAGAAATGACCCTATATCTTGTGAACTATTGACATTTTTATAGATATAAACTCATCCCGAAATTACACTCATCAAGACCTTTCATTTAAGTACCCACATCAATTTTTCATTTAAGGAAGTACAGTGTAATTTAACAAAAGTTGTTATTTAATAAAGCAAAATTTTATTTATTTATAGTTCATAACCCACGGCAGTCACATAGTGACTGCAAGGTTGCTAGTTAACTTTTATTTACACAGATTGCCATTGTGAAAAAAAATGTAATATCATAAAATATTTAAAAAAAAAAAAAAAAAAAAAAACATTTTTACTTGTACAAATTATTAAAATTGATGATTGCAATTTTAAAAAAATAAAAAAAAAAAATATACTTTAAATCACCAAGATCGGAGACTTGACTCAGTAAATTGTTAAAAAATTGTGCAAATATACTGTTGGGAAGCTAATTAAATTACTACAATACATTCAAAAATACTCATAAATATTTATTAGTAAGCTTCTGTTTTTGTAAAAGAACCACCTTGAAAAAGTTTATTTATCGAATGTAATACAATCCATCACTTAGCTAAAGTACCAATTTAAATCCTCAACTACAATTATCGAAGCTATTTTTTTGATAAACGCGATAAAAATATTCAATATTTTTTATTCTAGCCTACCAGTCTATTTTTTCTATTTCAGACCGATAAATTTAGACTGTAAAGTTAAAAATACACGCATAAAACGATTTTGTTGAAATAACAAAAGACGGGATAACTGAAAAATATGTCCTGGTAACAAATGAGTATGTTTATAGCAACAAATCCATTAGTTGCATTAACAAAAAGTTTCAAGTTGTACTAACAAACCAGTTTGTTAAATCACAAAATAAATTTGTTGCTCTAACAAAATTATGTTGTTGCTATCACAAAATGACTTTGTTGCTGTTACCAAGTGATTTTGCTGCTGTATCAAAGTGGTTTTATTGCAATAACAAAACTAATTTGTTGCTTTTTAAATGTATACATATAAAATTTACTGTAACAAATTTATTTGTTATTCCAACAAATTCTCATTGTTATTTTTACAAATTCACTTTATTACTTCAACAAATTGTCTTTGTTAATCCGACAAATTCTCTTGGTTATTTTAATAGAATAATTTTGCTGTTTCAACAAAAAAATTTGTTATACCAATTAAAGTATTTTGTCGAATCAACTAAAAGATTTTGCTATAGTAACAAAACTAATTTGTTGTTATAACATATCAATAACTTGTTATAACCTAAATTTTGTTATTTTAACATATGATTTGTTATCCCTATGTTAACAAATTCATTTGTTACCACAACATATCTTAGGTTATCTTAACAAAATTTTTTTTTGCCTATAGGGTGCCGAGACTCACAAGTTCAGAAAGGTCAGACCGGATTAAGATATCAGTCCGATAGAAAAATACTTTTGATATTTTTTACTCCAGCTTTTAAAGATTTCTTCAACTACAATCTCAAACTTTGTTATCTATCAAAAATAGATAACAAATTATTTTTAAAATAGTCAAAACTTAAATTAACCTCAGGTCTTCACACAAGCATCCGTCCAGAACAAATCACAGTATTTACAAAGTATCTTTGTCGTAAAATTCGACAAGTGTACGGAAGCATTGATTGATCAAATTAAATTAATACAGACCGCGAAGCTCAATGCCAGTAAAGGAAAACAATAATTGTTGTTAATGTTTACGAAACTTCAGCGATCTCCAGAATGCGCGTGGGTCGTTGTAATTTTACCCAAGAGTCGGAATGTATATATTGAAATATATATAGTATATAATATAATAATAATTCCAGCGATAACATAGTGTGGGAATATATATAGATATATGTAGTAAGATAACACATAAGTTGATAATAAAGGGTCAGGAGAATCCAGATGGAAGCTCCGACATCCTCGAGACCTTTTACGGATGAGTAGGAATTTGCAAGCTCGCTCATCCGTGAATATATATAATACACTGCTATGTATTTTGCAAGAAGAAAATGGTTAGGATGCATACCTGGTTTGTATACAGTATGTATAAATATGTTGCATATAAGATTAGACGTCTGGATTCTGTATTGGCAACATTTACTGCGATTCACATTAAAATATACCGACTAGACACAATTAGTCGCGTGCATTTTACCATCTCAATACTTCGTTAATTTGAACTAGTAAATTAATTAGATACTGAGATTTATATCAATTATTCTTGAACTATACACTGGAAATTATAAGTTTGATACTGATGATGATAATAATAATAATATGAGTTGGTGTTATTATAATTAAGACAAGCTTTGAGATAATAAAAGACTATGTTCAACTCTAGTTCTCAATTATTGAAAATTGGCTTTAAGGTCTAATGATTTTTGGAAAAGCTAAGTTTAATAAAAAATTTGTGAGTTTGGAATCTTAATTCCAAAAAAAAAAAATATTTGGCAAAATGGCGCGTAGTTTAAAGTAAAAATCCGAAATATTTTGTCAAATATTTTTTTTTTTTTTTTCATTCTAGTATCGACGATAACTATACTTATACTAATTAAAAGTCAATCATATTTTTTAATTTTAGATCAGACGGAGAGATCAATCTATCTCCACCAGTCAGGTCCATTTTTTTTGAGAGGGGAGTTCGGCGCCATTTTTCTAATTAAAAAAAAAAATTTTTTTTGTTTTGATTTTCATTTTTGTGCAGTTGATAAGTAAGAGAATAAGTGTAAAAAAATTTGAAAGAATTAGTCATTACCTTCACATAGAAATAAAATTTTTTAAAATAGCTTAAATTTTAGGCCGCTTTCCCTTAAATGTATAGTTTTTTTGAAAAATATTTTGTTGAAAAAAATGCACTTGTTATTAATTTACTAATTGATGTAAATATCAATAAATAAAGCAGCTATTTAGAATTCAGCTCTCAGAAAATAAAATCTAAATCAAAAAATCTTTTTATAGATATATTTGCATCGAACGATGACAAGAACACTCCGACGTTACTTGTGTAATTAAGTTATTTAAATTAACTTGATTCTCTTCGTACGTCACATTCTCTTTCTCTCTTGTCGGTCGTATTCCTCCTCGGCATACACAATTGTATCTGACACACCGATACCAGCTGTTACTTTTTTACTGTTACATAAAAAATAAAAGTCTTTTATAATTTTGACATAAACTTTTCTTTCTGCTTGTGCAGAATCGTAAAATATAATGAGATTGAGAGAGTCGTGTGAAATTTTTAATTATTTTTCTAACGTTATACTTCTGAGTAATTAATTACAATTAGTAAAATATGCATGAGTAAATATTGTATCGACAACAACGAAATTTAATGACCTATTTAACATTTTTCAACTCCCACTCGCTTGCAATTAACCACCGAGAAATTAATAGTTAAGTTGTTACGTAGCTTTGTATGAAATATTCGTCTTAATATTATACACTCTCATTGACACTTTACCTTTTTTGACATTTGGTGTCATCATGGTCAAGTGGCTCTTGCACTCACTTGACATTTTTTTTTTTTAGTTGATGTGTTTTAGTCGCGTTCCAGTTCCAACTTTTATCAACTTCATTTTCATTGAGAAAGTTAGAATGTAAAATTTACTATTTTATTTTTAACTTCCCGGAAAATTTCTCAAATGAAAAAACTTTTTACAACTGTAATTTTTTTTTTTTTTTTCAAACTAATCAACTAGACTCATCTGAGGACTAAAAATTCATAATAAAAACCTGTTATGTAAGGGCAAATCTCTTGTTAATGGTTAAATAAATCTAATGGAGGTAAACAGCTTTTAAATCGTTTTCAAAAATAAAAAAAATGTCTTGGAGAATAAATTATTGTCTAACCACCAGCATTCAAGACGTGACTGAGTAGAATAAAAAAAAAAAAATTATTTCAACCTTTTTGGCAGACTGCCTTATCTTTTTATTGTAAAACGCCCTTTTAGTGTTTGAAAA